AAAAAAAAAAAAAATATTAGGAACAATTGTTTATATGTAAAATTATTTATAAAAAGTGTTTATATCTTCTTCCTTGCAACACATATTCAAGGTTTTTCATCGGATGTGTAGCACACCTGTTCTCAACATGCTGCAGGAAGCGCTAAAGTTTAAAGCTCAGCTTTTATTCATATCCTTAAGTCTGAGCAATAATTGCACTGATACACGCCGATCATGAAAATGTCTTCATACAATGTCAACATGAGCTCGTGAGCTCCGCGACAGCGCTGCACTCGTCGGTTGCTATGGAGACGCCTAACACAGCGCAGCTGTCAGTCATTGCTGAGTTTGAACCATTATATTATATCATATAATAGATTATATAGATCAGTGTTTGAACCCCACCCAAGGACATTCGGTGATTTCTGCGCCGCTCGGAGTCTGTGCAGGTAAACATTAATAACCTTGCAATACCTCACCATGGTAGCCGCTCTGTTTCCTGCAAAATAGCATAGTTAGCTCGTTTCTGCTGTAACCATAGCATCTCCGTTCAGAGTCGTTTCTTTTTCATTCTTTCGTTAAATTAAAACATCGTTGAAATACATGAGCTGAAGACTACATCATAATTTACTAATAATAACAACAACAATTACATAGTGCGCTTACAGCCAATACTAAAAGCGCTTTAGCAAACATAAACATAGCAGCAAGCAATATAAAGGTAAGATTTAAGTGTTTTTGAAGGAAGTCTCTTGTGTTCACCAAGGCTGCGTTTATTTGTTCAAAAATACAGTGAAAACCGCAATATTTTGAAATATTACTACAATTTAAAATAACTGTTTTCTGAGTATTTTTGAAAATGTAGTGTATTACTGTGATGAATTTTTAGCCGCTCCAGCGTCACGTGGTCCTTCAGAAGTCATTCTGATTGGCTGCTCAAGAAACATTTCTTATCATAACCATGTTGAAAACAGTTGTGCTTACTTAGTATTTTTGTGAAAAACGTGATTCTTGGATGAATAGGACGTTCATAATAACAGCATTTACTTGATGTTGAAATCTTTTGTAACATTACTTGTCTTTATTGTCATGCCTCCTTGCTTTATTAATTAAATATTAATTACTAGGCTATATAAACGTTTGAATGGTAATGTAGGCTACATAGATACACATTGTAACAAAGAAGAGCACTCTCAATAGTCCGGGGATTGTTGTATGTACTAAGATACATTCATATGATGATTTCAGGCGAATGAAAACTTTTTCAGAATGACAAAGACTCTTATAGCAATTATAACTGGATTAACCTGACTACGTTACAGTAACAAACGTCACGTTTATGGGTCAAGTCAGGCAGAAACCTTCAGGTAACAACTGTACTTTTCTATGATAGTGTAGAAGAGTGTTTGCAGTATGAAGAGATCAATCCTCCAAGATTTAAGCATTGCTCATCACTATACACTGTTATCTCATAGCGCTCACAGAGAACCTGCAGCACCTGGGAGATCCTGCCAAGAAAAGAGCATCTCCGTATGGAGCAGAAGACAGGGCCTGTCAAGTGGTGAGATTATACAGGTTTTAACCTTTTGTTTCTGTATTCATCTGTGCTAGATTATAAAGAGCCATTTCTTTTCCTTCATTTTTTCCCTTTCGTGTCTTATTTTAATGGTCTGTAGGCTAGAGAACAGTCCCTGTGAGGCTTTGTTGAGTGATCAGTCCTCCATGGAAATCCCACCGGTCTTCAGAGAAAATGTAATGGCGACTTCACTGCCACCTGTTCACCTAAATTTATTCATGCAGTTTAATAATACTAATAATAATACATTTTAAAGGAATAGTTCCTGCCTAAATGAAAATTTGCTAAAATGTACTCACCTTCAGGGCATCCAATATGTCGTTGAGTTTTTGTTTGTATTAGTAGAACAGATTGGGAGAAATGTTGCATTGCGTCACTTGCTCACCAATGGATGCTCTGCAGTGAATGGGTGCCGTCAGAATGAGAGTCCAAACAGCTGATAAAAACATCACAATAATCCACAACTATCAATTATCATCTTGTGAAAAGTGTGTTTGTCAGAAACAAATTCCT